GATCTTGGAGGTAAAGCATTCAGTCTTTGACCTTTGAATCTGATTTTAGTTGTAGGCTGTTCATAGATGCCTTTTATCTGGTTGAAGAAGTACAATTCTATTCCAGTTTTACTAAAAATTTTTTATTAGATTTTTGTCAAGTACCTTTTCTGTGTTGATTGAGATAATCATATAGTTTTTCTTTTTAAAATTAATATAGTGAATCACATTATCTGATTTTTAAATGTTCAGCCAGTCTTGCATTGCTGAGATAAACCTCACTTGACCCATAATGTATTCCCTTTTATATATTGCTGGGTCTAATTTGCTAACTTTTGCTGTGAATTTTTTTTTAATCTGTGTTTCTGAGGCATATTGTCTTGTAACATGTTTGTCTTATTTTCTTATCAAAGTCACACAGAAAGAGTCAGGAAGTATTTTTTCTTCTTCAGTTTTCTGGGAGAGGTGGTGTGGAATTCATATTCTTTCTAGCTTCCGTAAATATATGGTACAATTCCCTAATGAAGCCATCTAGGTCTGGAGTTTTCTTTTTTAGGCATTTAAAATATAAATTCAGTTTCTTTAATAGATATTAGGCTATTTTTCTCCAGTGAAATTTCTTTGCTGCTCTTGAGTAAGCTTTGGTAATTTGTGACTCTAAAGGAATTTGTCCATTCATGTATGTTGTTGAATTTTTTGACATAAAGCTGCTCAAATTGTTCTATTGTTAACCTTTTAGTATTTGTAGAATCTGTAGTAATGTCTGCATTCTCAATACTGCTAATGATGATTTGTGTCTTCTCCCCCTTTTCCTGATTAGCCTGATTAGAGGTCATGTTACTGATCTTAAAGATCCAGCCTTTGGTTTCATTGACTTATCTATTTTTCTATTTTTATTTCATTGAATTATGAGTTTAGCATTATTATTTATTAATATTTTTATCTGTTTATGTTTAGTTTAATTTACTCTTCATGTTTATGAAGGTTAATGAAGGTGGTTAATTTAAGACCCTTCTACTTTTCTAACATAGGTATTTATTGCTATAAATTTCTCCATATGGACTGCTTTTATGTCATTTTTAATTTTTTATATGTTGTGCTTTTATATTAATTCAATTCAAACTACTTTCAAATTTCCTTTTTTATTTCTTTGACCCAGGGTATATTTAGAAATGTGTTGCTTAGTTTCTAAATATTTGAACAAATGATCTCTTTCTATTATTGATTTATGATTTAATCCACTGTGGTCAAAGAAGAATATGCTTTGTATTACTTCATTTCCTTATAACTGTATTGAAACTTGTTTTATGACCCCAAATAAAATCTGTTTTAGTCAATGTCCATGTACACTTGAAAAATATGTGCATTCTTGTTTGGGTAGAATGTTGTAATAAATGCCAAATCAAGTTGCTTGATGATGTAGTACAATCTTCTATATCCTTAGCGATTTTCTGCCTCCTTGGTATATCAATTATTGACAGAAATAATTAATCACCTGACTATAATTGAGGATTTATTGATTTCTCCTTACAACCCCCATCCATTTGGGGGCTTATATTTTGAAGCTGCTATTGTATATATAAACATTTGGGTGATTATGTCCTCCTGATGAATTGACCCCTTTATCATTATGAAATTATTGTCTTTATCCTTGGTAATATTCTTTGCTGCAAAATCTACTTTGATATTAATATAGTTACTCCAAGTTTGATTTTGATTAATTTTTTAATTTTCCATCCTTCCACATTTAATCTCATTGTCAATATTTAAAGTGAATTGCTTGTGAGCTACCTGTAGTTGAGTTTTGACTTTTTATTCATTATGATGATCTCTGTCTCTTAATTGGGGTTTTGAGACCACTAAAATTTAATGAGTTAGATTTAGTTCTATCTCCTTGCTATTTTCTCTCTGTCCCATCTGTACTTTGTTCATCTTTTCCCCTTTTTCTGTTGGATTATTTTTCTAACTCCATCTAGTCTCTCTTGTTAGCTTAATAATTTGAAAATCTTTCTTTTGTTATTTTAATGGTTGCCATAGCTTAGTACTATATGTTTTTAATTTATCTCTATCTTCAAGTAACATTATACCCATGTACATCTTCACAATTCACAATCTCATCCCTGCCTTTCAGATCTAGATTTCCATTTGCTTTTGTTTTCCTTCATTCTGAAAGACTTCCTTTAACATTCCCTTGAGAACATAGCAGTGAAAGTTTGCTGGTGATTAACTGTTGCAGGTTTTATTTTTGAAAGAAAGTTTTACTGGTACAAAATTTGAGATTTACAGCTTTTTTCCCCTTTCCTTTCCTTAAAATGTTGCTTCACTCTTTCCTGATATCCATTTTCCTCCAAGAAATCTGATCTCATCTTTATCTTTTAAAGTACATAATGTTTTCTCTCCCCCGCCACCACTTTTGATTACTTTTAAACTTTTCTCTTTCTCATGTTTTTGAGCAATTTGGTCACCAGGTCCTTGGTGTGGTTTCTTCATGTTACTTGTGTTTATTGCTTGTTGAGCTTCCGGGATGTCTAGCTTTATACTTTTCTCAAATTTGGAAAAACTTTGACCATTAGTTTTCCCCATATTGTTTCTGCCCCACCCCACCCTGCTCCAATCCTCTTGCCTTTAGAGACTTAAATCTCATTTATATTGAGTAACTTGAAGTTGCTTCAGAGCTTGGTGATTTAGCTTCCATTTTGATTATTTCTATTGCATATCTGCTCACCTTTCATCTGTAATATCGAATTTGCTTTTGATCCTACTGTATTTTTCATCTCACTCATTATAATTTTCATATCTCCTGTTCATTTGGGATATATATATATATATATATATATATATATCTTCCATGTCTCTATTTACCTTTTTTTTTCTTTTTTGATACCAGGGATGGAATGCAGCGTCACTTAACCACTGAGCCACATCCCCAGCCCTTTTTTATATTTTATTTAGAGACAGGGTCTCACCAAATTGCTTAGGACCTTGCTAAGTTGTTGAGGCTGCCTTTGAACTTGCAATCCTCCTGCCTCAGCCTCCCAAGCCACTAGGATTACAGGTGTGCACCACCATGCCCAGCTCTATTTACCCTTTTAAACTGATGGAATACAGTTATTATAATTGTTTTAATGTATTTTTTGCTAACTCAGCATCTGTGCTAATTTGGGGTCAGTTTTGATTAATTGATTATTCTCTTTTTTTTTCTCTTTCTCATCTAACATTTTAATTTTTGTATTTGAAGTAATGTTAAAATAAATGCTTTTTAAAATAAATGTTGAAATTAAATTTCCTATGAATAAAATGCTGTGTTTTAAAATCTAAAAAAGAAATGAGGAAAATCAAAGGATGGGTACCAACAATATGTAAAGCACAGGAAATCAAAGACAAAATCAATCACAGTTGATTTTTTTTCCCCTGAACTGTTCTGGTTAAACAGTCTATTCTTTTTGATGATTGGCAATTTTAGACAAACAGAAAAACCATTATTGTATGTTCTGTACATCTCTAGGTGTAGAGTTTCCACTGCAACTTTACAGCCACATCAATGTTTATAGCAGCACAATTCACAATAGCTGATCTGTGGAACCAACCTAGATGCCCTTCAATAGATGAATGGATAAAAATATATGGCATATATACCCAATGGAATATTTACCTGCAAATGCCATGATTTTATTCTCTTTTGCAATAAAAGAGAATAAAATCATGGCATTTGCAGGTAAATGGATGGAGTTAGAGAAGATAATGCTAAGTGAAGTTAGCCAATCCCAAAAAACCAAATGCCGAATGTTTTCTTTGATATAAGGAGGCTGATTCATAGTGGGATCGGGAGTGGGAACATGGGAGGAGTAGACAAACTCTAGATAGGGCAGAGGGTTGGAGGGGAAGGGAGAGGGCATAAGGTTATTAATGATGGTGGAATGTGATGATCATTATTATCCAAAGTACTGGTATAAAGACACAAATTGGTGTGAATATACTGTGTACACAACCGTAGATATGAAAAATTGTGCTCTACATACGTAATAAGAATTGTAATGCATTCCACTGTCAAAAATAAATAAAACAAAGATTTATTTAAAAATAAATAAATATAATTAAATGATTATTCTCTTTATAAAGGGCCTTGTTTTCCTGCCTCTTTTATGATTTGTTAGATGTGTCTGAATAGTGCTCAGTGTAGGGCTAATTATTCCCCACTGTGGAGATTAAACTTCCAAGTACTTTGCCCAATGCCTCATGAGTTGTTTTTCTATTCTAGATTGTAGGAATAAGCACTGCCAGCCCTGTGTGAGTGCTGGGCATTGTTCTTTTTAATCCTATTGGAGAATTCTTTTCTCCAGACTCCAGAGTAGTTGCTCAGTAGATGCTGATCAGTATCTCTCTCCATACTTGAGGGGTCCCTCTGCTTACCTCCAGAGTCCTCTCTCTGGGCAGTCTTCTACAGTAATCTGTCCTGTTAACTCTGCCATCTTAGTCACCAAGACGCTCAGCTTAATACCCTCAATTTATATAGTTCACCGGGTCACTTCTAGGTGCACAGCGTCTTGATACTCTCTCAAAGCAATGAACTGGGATGATCTTGGGTTGAACTTTATTTTTTCCATCCACCAGGAATCACTGTCTTATTGCCTGAGTCCTGTTTCTTGAAACCATTGTTTCATACCTTATCTGTCTGTGGGTTGTTGATTTGTTTTGTTTACTGGTTGACTGGTCATTTTAAGCAGTAAGGATATTACTCCATTTTGGCCAGAAGTTGAAGATTCAACAACAGTCATTTATTTTCTGCCTCAAGCTCAGTTGCAGTTCAGTTGATCCAATATGAACCCATTGAGAGCTGTTGGGGCTCAGCTAATTTTACTGGTGATCTTTTGGGATATAATGCTACTAATTTCAAGCCAGTCATAGGTATAATGATGAAATTTTTAGATTTTAACCTCAATTTCTAGGGAAAAAAATATATATTTCTAAAAAGTAACTGTGGAAATTATCATTTAACCCCTTTCTTTTTTATTTAAATTTAGAGGACAATGTATCAAAAAATATGCAAGAATCACAGGAATCCCACTTAACCAACCACCTAGATGAAGTTGTTGCTGCTGTCAGCATCACTCCTAAAGCGAAGATCCAAAACAAGCTGCCGCAGACAGTGCTGTTCCAGCCACCACGAGAGAAACTCCACCTCTGTGAAGAGAAAGCAAAGTCCTTTTCCAGCAGTCACAATGTAAGGAACCTTTTACTTCCTTTCCTGTACTCTGGAAATTGGGCTATCATGCATGACCAAAAGAAGTAGAGTACTTTAGATTACATTCCTAATATCAGGAGTGTGAGTGCCTTTATTGTAGCATGAGTGACTGTAGGCCCTCAGGGCTCCAAGCCCAGCAGTTGGTGTGGTCAAGAATAAATATGTTTTGAGATTTTACCACATGGTAATGCAACACAATGCAGGTGCAACACTGTAATGCAACACAACGCAGATGAAGCTTCTAGAGTTTAGAATTCCTTGTCTTTAATCTTCTTGGTCTGTGCACAATTCTTTCTCATCCTCCCCTCAGAAGTTTTTTTGATTCCCCCCCTCAGAAATTTTATTCATTCACCCATCCAGGCCATTCATTTATTTCACATTCATTTATTTTACAAATGCCCATTGTATACCTAATATGTGCCAGGTGCCATGAAGGTGCCAAGGGCCCAGAGGGGAAAGCACAGCCAAGAGCCCAGAGAGATATATCACTGTTGATAATGGTAGTCAGTGTGATAAGTTCTGAGAGAGACACAAACTGCGAAAGACACACATGCAAAAACAGAATGGGGTAGGCAGTAAGCCTGGAGTGGGTGCAGGGATAGCTAATAAAGCACACTTTTAGGATGGAAGTTGCTTGGTCGGCAAAGTTATAGTGCTTAGGATTTGGCCAGGTGACACAGAGGACAAAAATGTTCTGGGAAAAAGTAATAGATGCTGAAGAGTTGTGGACCTTAGGGGGCACAGTCCAACTGGGGAACTACAAGAAGCTGTCTAGGATAAAGGTTCTTGTGACATAGGGACATGAAGCTGGATTATGGGTAGGATCTGGGCCTGGAGGACACTCAGAGTGCAGAAAAAGAGTTTTGATTTCTCATAAAGCTACTTGAGGAATTTTCTAGGATTCTAAACAGGAGAAAGCTATGAGCAGGTTTGAGTTTAAGAATGATCGTTTCTGCAGACTTTTGGAGGATGTATGAGAAAAGAATGAAATTGGAAGAAGAGGAGAATATATGTCATTATCCTGGCAAGGGATTATGAGGGCCTGAACTAAGGGGGACAGAGACAGCAGAGGTGCTGAGACCTTTTGAAGGGAATGTAGAATTGAAAATTGGTGGGACTGGATGATCAAGGGAACACAGGAGAAGGAGAGCCAGGCAGATGGGGTATGGAAGACCCTAAGTTAGGTCTCAGTTTGCTCAGATGATTGGAGGCTTTGCCTGTGTCTTTCACCCATAAAGTGAATATAGTAGAAGATCAAGATTAAAGCAAGAGGTCATGAATTGGTTTTGAGTGTGTGCTTATTAATTATACACCTGATGTTTATTTGGTACCTACCATGTGCCAGGCCCTATGGTAGGTAGGATTTTGGTCAGTAGCTTTCCTCAACCAAAGTTCTACAAGAGAATTAATCCTAATGCCCAAAGGCATTTAGCATATATAAAGAACTATCTTCTCTTTTATGTGTCCAGATGGTACTAAAACATTTCTGTGATCTCTGGTTCTTGGGACACCAAAGTGAACAGGACAAAGTACATGCCCTCATGGAGCTACAGGGCAATTGACATTGTCAGTAAACCAGATAGTGGGCCCACTGTGGTCAGGGAGGGCCTCTGTGAGGAGGTAACAAATGAGCTGAGAACTGAGAAACAGAAGAACCAGCATGGAAGAAATGAGTTTAGGGATAGGAAAGAGCAAGGTAAGATCTGCAAGGTAGGCACAAGTGTTAGGAGTGGAGGTACTGGGCTGCAATGCAGTGTGGTTGGAAAAACCATCAGTTCACTTAGGGCCTTGAGGGTTGAGTGCTTTGTGCCCTGGAAGATCCTGAAAGAATCAAAGGGGATCCACATGGTATTCTTTACTTTTAAAAATATTCATTTTGGGGATTGGGGCTATAGCTCAGTGGCAGAGTGCTTGCCTAGCATGTATAAGGTACTGGGTTCGATCCTTAGCACCACATAAAAATAATCAAATACAAAGAAAATATGCTGTCCATCTAAAACTACAAAAAGTTTTTTCAAAAATATCCATTTTGGGGGCTGGGGTTGTAGCTCAGTGGTAGAGCGCTTGCCTTGTACGTGTGAGGCCCTGGGTTCTATCCTCAGCACCACATAAAAATAAATAAATAAAAATAAAGATATTGTGTCCATCTACAACTAAAAAAAATTTAAAAATATCAATTTTGGAAAAAATATCCATTAACTTTATTTTATAATAATTTTTGAGTTAGGTTAGGTTAGTTTTCACCAGTTGTTAACATTTTCTTTATGCTTTTTTTAGGGCTTATTGGGTTTTTTTTGTTTGTTTTTCTTTTCTTTTTTCTTTTTTTGTTTGTGTTGTTGTTGTTATTGTTTTTTCAGCTGGGATGAAATCCAGGACCCCATGCTTGTTAAACCCACTCTGCCACTAAACCACACCCCCAGCCCACTTTATTACACCATTATTCTTTCTCTCTTTATCTCTCTCTCTCTCTTTCACTCATGTTTTGTCTGAGAGTAGGTTACAGATGTTATGATCCTTTACCTCTAAATACTTCAGTCTACTCCCTAAAAATAAGGGTTAAAATTAAGAAATTATTATTAGTATAATGCTATTACCTAATCTATAAGCCGTATCCATATTTCTCCATGAAAAAGTCATTTTTGGGGAAAAAATCAGATCCATAGTCCAATCCATGATTTCATGTTGAATATAGATATCATGTCTCTTTAGTTGCTTTTAATCTGCAACAGTGAACCCATCTTTGTCTTTCATGATCTCAGTGCTTTCAAAAAGCACATTCCAACTATTTTGTAGACCATCTCTCCATTTGAATTTGTGTTATCTTTCCTTGTCATTCAACTCAGATTATGCATTTGAGGCAGGACTAGCACAAGCACGACTCTAGAGCCTTCTGGGTGCGTCATAGGAGACATAATTTGTCTCATTACTGTGATGCTAACCTTGAACACTGGGTTAAGGTACTGTCTGACAGGCTTGTACATTGTAGAATTACTATTTTTTCCTTTGTAAGTAAGTATTTTGTGGGGAGATGCATCAAGACTGTGTATATACTTAAAACTTCACCCCTTAGTTTTAGCATCCACTGATGATTCTCACCTGAATCCATCATTACTATGAGATTTGTCAAATAGCAAATCTCTGACTTTGGTATTCTTTCAGCATTTATTTGTTTGTGTTCCATATAAGAGCTTTCTCTTCACATTTCATTTGCTGTTCATTTATTATATCAATACAAGTTCAGAAAATTGTGTTTTACAACCCATCATTTTTATCAAAGCTTGAATTGTCCAATATTTCCAGTGGGGGCCTCTTCAAGCTGGCTAAGTCCCTGATTTACTACTCACTCTTTGAGTACATTCTTAAGTTATGACACAGTAAGATTTTTTAGGTTCATCTTGGGCTTCCTTGTTCCTTATATCCATACATGCTAATCAAAGAGTAAAACATTAAGTAAAAACTAAATATCCATTAGCAGTGGATTGAGTAACTCAATTATATTTTGTCTAAGCAATAAAATGCTGTGCAGCCATTAAAACTTTTATCATAGAAGATGATATGGGGGATGTTCATAAATTTAGAACAACAGGTTGCAAACCTACAGCTTATGAGTCTGTTTTGAAAAAGAAAAAGTATGTAGATAGATTCATGAAATTAATGAATAAAGGGATATTTAGTTACCTCATTATCTCCAGAAGGTGAGCTTGCAGATGATGTTTAGTTTTCACCTTTTTGCTCTTTTGCATTTTGACAAGCATGCACTACTTTTGTAATAAGAAATATGATACTGTAGAAAATGGCCACAGCCCCACCTTCTTTCAATGCTATGGGGTAAGCATCCTCCCTCACCTTCCTCCTATTGGGTCACAGAAGTGACTCTCCTGTGGTTAACTGGATATGTGTTTTTGTCAAGAAAAAAAATATATTGTTTCAGGGTTAAAGTGTTTCTAGTTGGCATTGCCCAACATGCACACTGGGTCTTCTAGACCTTCTCCACAACTCTATTCTCATTCCTATTTTTCTTCCTCTTTGCCCACTTCAGCTGGTTTTTATTAGGTGTCTTACCTCCCATCTCTTCTCTTGCTATTCTTGCTAATCTGTTGCTACTGAACACCCTAAAACTTAGTGAGTGAAACAAATCATTCATTTTACTCATGAGCCTGCAATTTGTGCATAGTCCAGTGGAGTCTACTCAGCTGTGCTTCATGTAGTATCTACTGGCCTAGGTGGGCATGGAGCTCTACTGTCAAGATGGCTCACTCATATGGTTGACAGAGCATTGAGTGGATTAATTGGTGTTAGCAGTTCATGCCTTTCCACGGAGTCACTTAGTCTTCCTCGTGGTAAGGTGATTGGGTTCTGTATTACTTTACTTTAGGGCTGCCATGAAAAAAATACCACAGGCTGTGGGTCTTAAACAGCAGAAGTGTATTTTCTTGCAGTTCTGAAGGTTGGAAGTCCATGAAGGGGTTGATAAGATTGATTTCATTCTGACGCTGTTCTCCTTGGCTTCCAGATGGCTGCTCTGTGTCCTCACGAGGTCCTTTTTTCTGTGCACATGCATCCCTGGTTTCTCTTTCTCTTCTTATGTAAGGACATCAGTCATATTGGATTAGGACCTTCTTAATGGCCTCATTTTAACTTTATCACCTCTTTAAAGGCCTTATCTCCAAATATGGTTGCATTCCGAGGTACAGGACATTGAAACTTCAACATATGAATTTGGAAGGGACATAATTTAGCCCATGTTCAGGTTCCAGGAGTGACACCCAAGAAGAAAGAGAAATGGAAGCCATCAGTTCCTTAAGACTTGGGCCTGAAAACTGGCACCACGTCATTTTCTCCACAACAGCAGGAGCTGTTAATGGAGGTACAATTGGAAAACCTAGGGGATGATTACATGTCTGTTCTACTTTTTAATTTTTTTTCTTTATCCCATTACATTTTTTACTTTTAAATGTACTATAAGTTGTATTCATTTCTTATGTTTACTAATCATTTCACCTGACCATATGAGCACTCTACCATGTAAAATGAATCAAACAGTCTCAGAGTTAAGATCCAAAGTGAAGGGGACATAGACATCCCCACTCATCTCTGGATGGAAAGAATGTCAAAGAATTTCAAAACTGTGTTTTAAAATTATCAGCCTTGCTTTGAATATGTAGCTCCTCTGGGCTGACCTGAAGCTGGGAATCCATGGTTCTTATTCTTTTTGTCCTAGCTCTGAGTGAAAATGTGCTTCCCACTGCTTTAATAAAGTCTGCTTGCCAGTCCTGCTGATTTTATTTGCTATGCTACTGACATAGGCTGTGAAGGAAGATTTCAAATCAAGAATGAAAATGTGTCATTTGAAAACTACTACCAATTGCCCACTTGTACCTGAATATGCAGGAGCCATTAATGGAGGGACAGTTGGAAAACCTAGAGGATGATTACATGTCTGTTCTACTTTTAAATTTTTTTATTTATTCCATTGCATTTTTCACTTTTAAATGTACTATAAATTGTATTCATTTCTTATGTTTACTATTTATTTCACCTGACCGTATGAGCACGCTACTATGTAAAACGAATCTTTTTTTGTGATGTATCCCAAGTGCCTAGAGCCATGTTGAGAACATATTAGACACTCAATAAATGTTGCATGGATAAGAGTGTAAGTAGATGTTATACTTTGTAACTCTTGAGTTTTAAGCCATCTAACTAATAAGCTCATTTCTTTTCCTAACAGTATAAACAGGCTGTCAAGGAGCTTGTGCGTTATGTAGCATTGGCAAGAATTTGTTATGGCAACTCGCATTGGAAAATAGCAGAGGCACATGTCAATCTGGCTCAAGGGTACCTCCAGATGAAAGGTGAGCTCATCTCAAGTGGAGGAGGACCAGTTAGTTGGTTACTGCTATGCTCCCCAAATCTGATTCACACTTAACTAGAAGGACTAGGTTTTGGATATTCTCCTCAAATATTGAGAAGCCATTTCCTTTTGAGTTAATAAGGCATATAACATAATAATAATCAAAGGGAAAAGGAAAGGAAAACTGTAATCTTTGGGTTTTGTTTTTTCATGATCTTAAGATTAGGGTTCAGGGCTGGGGTTGTGGTTCAGTGGTAGCACACGCGTCTGGCATGTGTGAGGCACTGGGTTCGATCCTTGGCACCACATAAAAATAAATAAGTAAAAGAGAGGTATTGTGTCCATCTACAGTTTAAAAAAAAAAAAAAAAATATATATATATATATATATATATATATATATATATATATATATATATAAAAGATTAGGGTTCTTAGGAGACAATCTATTAGGTCAGAAGGTATTGCAGGAAAAACAAAACACAAGACAAGGAATAAGGGAATCCATTCACATTTTTTTGTTTTGTTGGTACCAGGGATTGAACCCAGGGGTATTTAACCAGTGAACCACATCCTCAGCCCTTTTTCATATTTTATTTAGAGAAAGGATCTTGCTGAGTTGCTTTAGGACTTTGCTTAGTTGCTGAGGCTGGCTTTGAAAACTTGCAATCCTCCTGCTTCAGCCTCCCAAGCCATTAGGATTATATGGGCCACTGCACCTGGATATTTGCATTTTTGATGGAGAGTCTCTTGACTCTAAATAACAATAAATAAATAAATAAATAAATAGATAGATAGATAGATAGATAGATAACAAATTGGCATAACTAAAATGTATTGGCTTATACAAACTTAAAAATCCAAGGGTAAGGCTTCCTTTAGACTTAGCATATCTGATGTTCAAACAAAGTGGCCAGGTTTCCATTTCTATTTTCTCAGCATTGGTTCTATTTTTCTTTGCTTTTTAAAAATATTTTCTATTTGTTCTTTTTTATATATAAAAAATATACTTTGACATAGTATACATACACAGAGTATAACTTTGACATAGTATATACTTTGACATAGTTTACATACATAGAGTATAACTTATTCTAATTAGGATCCCATTCTTGTGGTTGTACATGATATGGAGTTACTCTGGTCATGTATTCGTATATGGACATAGGAAAGTTATGTCTGATTCATTCTCCTGTCTTTCCTATTCCCATCTCCACTGTCTTCCCTTCATTCCTCTTTGTCTAATTCAATGAACTTGTATTCTTCCTCCATATCAGAGAAGATATTTGGCCTTTAGTTTTTGGAGGATCAGCTTATTTCACTTAGCATGATAGTCTCCAGTTCCATTCATTTACCAGCAAATGCCATAATTTCATTCATGTTTAAGGCTGAGTAATATTCAATTGTGTACATATACCACAAATTTCTTTATCCATTTATCTGTTGAAGGGCATCTAGGTTAGTTCCATAGCTTAGCTATTGTGAATTGAGCTGTGTCACTGTAGTATGCTTATTTTAAGTCATTTAGGCAAAAACCGAGGAGTTGGATAGCTGGTTCAAATGGTAGTTCCATTTTAAGTTTGTTTTTTTTTTAAGGAATCTCCAGACTGCTTTCCAGAGTGGTTGCACCAATTTGCAGTCTTACCAGCAATGTATATGTGCCTTTTCCCCCACAAATTCATCAACATTTTTTGTTACTTATATTCTTGATAATTGCCATTCTGACTGGAGTGAGATGGAGTCTCAGTGTGATTTTAGTTTGTATTTCTCTAATTGCTAGAGATGTTGGACATTTTTTCATATATTTGTTGACTGTATTTCTTCTTCTGTGAAGTGCCTGGTCAGTTCCTTTGCTCATTTATTGATTGGGCTATTTTGTTTTGTTTTGTTTTTTTGTGTTAAGTTTTTTGTTATTTATATATTCTGGAGATTAATGCTCTATCTGAGATGCAGGTGGCAAAGATTTTCTCCCATTCTGTAGGCTCTCACTTCACATTCCTTAATTGTTTCTTTTGCTATGAAGAAGCTTTTTAGTTTGATACCATCCTATTTATTGATTCTCTATTTTACTTCTTGTGCTTTAGAAGTCATTTCCTAAGGAAGTCATTTCTTTAAGGAAGTCATTTCCTAAGCTGACATGATGGAGAGTTGGGCCTATGTTTTCTTCTTGTAGGCACAGGGTCTCTGGTCTAATGCCTAGGTCTTTGACCCACTTTGAGTTGAGTTTTGTGGAGGAGGAGAGATAGAGATTCAATTTCATTGTGCTTCATATGGATTTCCAGTTTTCCCAGCACCATTTGTTGAAGAGCCTTTCTTTTCTCCAATGTATATTTATGTTGGCTCTGTTTTTCTTGGTATTGGCTCCATTCTTAGCCAAACTTTGACCACATGTTAGTGGCAAATCTGCCAATAACCTTAGTTTTCCCTTCTAAGCATTCCCAGGAGAGACAGAATGTCCCACCACCAAAACCCTTCAGGGTTTGGGGGACATCCTAATTAGACCAATTTGAGTTATGTACCACAGACCAGGAATAGTCTGATTGACCAGATCTGACTTTTCACTTCTGTGGATGCTTGGGAAGAAACTGGCTTTGGCTAGGTCACACAGATTGGATGTGTAGGGGCCAAACATATCAAAAAGAAAAAGAAGAAGAGAGAAGGGATGCAGGGAAGGCAAAAACAACATATAGCCAGGATATGGTGTCTTCTAGTTACTGACTATGCAACCTAGGACAAGATGTCTAAGACTGCATCTCCACACTCAGCTTCTTCAACTGAAAAGCTATGATAAGGATGATGATGGCACTGACTTCCGAGGGTTGGTTCCAGGAGGAAATAAAGCAATAGAAGTGGAAAATGCCACAATGCCAAGCATAGAATTAACACCCAATAATTTTGGCCAAAGCTTATAGACTGGTCTTACCTGTTAGATCAAAGACCATTGGAACCGGAGGGAACTTTAGAGATCATCTTTTTACCTACGCTCTCCCCCGCTCACCATTTTCTAGATTCTGAGGAAACAACAATATGAGTTGAAACAACTTGCTCTAAATCACACTATTAATAAGTAGCTGATCTGAGACTCTGACCTAAGATTTTTCATGCCAGTCCTACTGTCCTGCCATCTTGGTTTTCAAGTAATGCTTTCCTTCTATAGCCTCCTTCTTTTCTGCATGAATCTTTCTTCCTCAGTTAAAAGTAAAAGCAGTCTAGTATCTAGTAAGGTCTTACTGAGTGCCAGGCATCTTGCTGTTTTCCATACATAACCTTATTCCATCTTCACCACAGTCTCATGAGGTGGTATTATTATTATCCTTTTTGTGCAGTTGGGGAAGCTGAGGACAAATTTTCCTAGTAAGTAGTGGAGCAGGGAATTCTTCCTGGGTAGTCTGACTGCAGAGCCAATGTTCTTGAACCTCAAGACCTATGCTGCCTCTAGTAGGTTCAAATTCATGTTCTTAAGGTAAGGGACCTAAGTTGGAAATGCAATCTGCAATGCCTTTTGGTATATATTACATGTACCATTGGCACTAATAAATTTCTAGCAAGCAGTTGAGTATATGCTTTGAAAAAGTATAAGATGCATAAAGTTCTGAGATTTCACATGAAGAGCATAGCCCTGACTTTCTCCATTAGAAAGTATATTGTTTCTGCTTTATAGATGTGAAAACATAATTAACTTCATATTTTGACAGACTTTTCAGAGATTTGAGATTCAATTCCATGTAATTCAGAACATAGGCCCAGGAGTGTGTGGGTGTCAGTGAAAGGGGGTTATTGGTGCAGGAGAGGAGGGTGGGAATGTGGGAAGTGCAAAGCACTGGATCCCAGCTGGTGAACTTTGCATCACCAACTCACAGATTAATAAGCCTGTGGAAGAGCACTGGAATCCTGTGGGAAATCAGTTCTCAGTAGTAATTTTTCATCATTCTATTTAGTTTCATATTAGCTTAGTACCCCACAGAAAGAGATTATGGCAGTGGTTCATGACCTCACTGCAATTGTGTTTGTAAGTTTTAAAGATATCATCATATTTGTATTGTGAAAATAACTCTAACAGCACAATTATAGACAGGTGAGCAGAAGATTTAGATTTTTTTTGTATTTCATTAAGATTGCTGTCACTGTCACAAAGCCAGGATTAAGATTCATGAATAACTTACTTCCTGCCCAGAATAGTCCTTGTATACCATTTTTTTTTAATAATTATCGGTCACATGTTTTACATCTGATATTGGTGAGGTTTCAAAGTTTTTCAGTTCCAGCTTGTTCAGGTTTCTTAATTTCTAAAAAGGCCATTTGGGGAATATTTTTTTTTCTTGAGCACTTGATATAAAACAATTCTTTGGTCACTACTGTCATGATAATATCCCTACTGCCCAAATACATCTCCATGTGCCACTTGACAATGTGGTGGGACTTTGTTAGATTTGCTAGCCACAGAGAACTGTATTGATATCCATCTGAGAATAAGAGAAACTGAGACTTCTTTTTCTCTGTCCATAGGATATGCACTGCAAGCAAAACAACACGCAGAAAAAGCCAAAGAAATCCTCACCGACTCCATTGTGCCTCCCTTTACTGACAATTCAGATGTTTTCAAGTGTTCCATAGAACTGTTCTATACCCTGGGGAAAGCCCTACTCTCCCTTCAAAAGTATCCTTTGGTCTCTGATCTTTACACATAGAAATACTGCTCATATAATACTTATATATAATTCTCAAGGTCAAATAAAAAGCTAACAGATGACTCGGGAAGGGTAAGAGCTAAGAAAGTTCCAAGACTTGGGGGTCCCAGAATCTAGAACCAAGAGGAAACTTTCCTAAACACAGTTCAGATTTAAAGAAGCTACAGAGAATTTGAGAAAAGCAGAGAGACTTTCAAAGGAGCTGCTACAATGTGGAAGGATTGTACAGGAAGAGTGGATAGAAATCCAAGCACGGATCAAATTGTCATTTGCACAGTGAGTTTCAAGTTTAAGACTTTGTATGCATGGCTGCTAGAGGTTCTTTTCCAGTAGAATCTGTCTTCAGATAGAAGGAGCTTCTTCATGGGGCTGTGTTGATGGCTTCTCCCAAAGCCATTGTCCAGATGTAGAAGAGGAGCACAGTCATGTCAGAGCAGCCCCTACCAAGACATACATTCGGGACACTTCACTTGGTGTCAAGTGCTCTCATATCCACCCAGGGTCCTACAGTCCTGATCACCATCCCCTTGACTTTCGTCCTGCTCCCCCTCTCCACTGCTGCCCTGTGTCCTTTCCCTTTCTCATTTTCTTCGCTCTCTCTGATATTATCTTCAATAGATTGATTTTTGTGACGAGGACCTCCGAGGAGAAAGACATTTAAACATATCCAATTTGTGATGTTGAAAGGATTGTTCTTTGTTCCTCATCCCACACCACACTCACCAAATAACCTAACCTGGAAGTGTTATAAAGAGAAAGTGATGGGCCCTTGGTTTTGTGCCCAAGCCCAAGCCCAACCCCATGTTGATTCCCCAGAGTGTGGGATGTTAGAGTATCCATGCTCTTCAGAAGTTGGATAAGTGGGGAAAGAGGGTGGAGAAAGGTCTACTCTAGAAGAGGCAAAGAATCCCAGTCGACCTACATGACCACCCTTAGCCAAAGCTGGAAGAATTCAGTTTACATTCACAACCAAGAGAACTCACAGAACCAGTGGGATCATTTTAAAAGAGGTAATAGCAAAGGACCCCAGGAGAACACATGTAATGAATGCTACCATATGAATAGAAACTGAGAAAGACCAACTCAGACTCAAGCTTTTAAAGGTATTATCTTTTGTGACTACAATTCTACCTTCTTATTTTGTTCTGTTTGGTGTTTTTCCGGACTGTTAGGTCAACATTAGTCTGTCAATGCAAGCCCTTTGGTATGCTTTTGTAAATTAAATTTTTCCCTTAAGCTCAGATTTTCACCCTCATTCTCTCCCCTCTCACAGCATAGATATCTATATTAATGATGATCTGTCTTCTAATAAGGATCTCCAAAAAAATAGTATTGTTTTATGTATTAGTATTATTTATGTATTTATGTTTTTAAGTTTGTAAATTAAAAAAAATTTGTAGTTGTAAATGGACAGAATGGTTTTATTTTATTTGTTTATTTTTATGTGGTGCTGAGGATTGAACCAAGTGCCTCACACATGCTAGGCAAGTGCTCTGCTGCTGAGCTGCAGCCACAATACATATTTTATTCTGTTTCTTAACTTTTTAATTGTCACCTGTACTTTAGTTCCTGTGTCTTTGCCACATTTTGCTTTTCCATCCTCCTAGCAACAGATCCTCAGCTTGTCCCCACACAGCAGTACTGTCACCAATATTTATATGCATCTTTACTTATGTAAGTGAGACTCTTTCTGAGGTTTATATCTCAGGATTGCTGGGTCAGGGGAGAAATGTACTTCAAGTTCTGTAAGCACTGGCCAATTGCTACTGCCATCTTCATTCCTGTTTGCAGGACAGATGAATTTCTTTTTTTCTCCCCTCCCCAACAATGTTTGTCCTTGTTGATCTTTGTAGTTGTTGCTAACCTGATGCATGTAACATGTTATCTAATTTTTTTTTAAGTCTATTTACATTTTTTATTAAAGTGTTCAATTACCTCCTCATATGCTTCTTAGCTATTTCAGATTCCTCACTTGTGAATAGCCTATTAGTATTCTTTCTTATTTTTCTTTTGGGATTCCGTATGCTTTTCCTTTTGACAATCAAAACTTTCTTGTATGTTATGAATATTAATAATATTGCCTCTATTTTCTTACATCTATTGCCCATTTATTAATTTTGACTGCAGTGTTCTTCTTGGAATAGAAATTTTCATTTCACTAGAGTCAAATTCAAATTTCATTTTTGCATTTTAATTTATATGTTAGGAGCTTGTTTAGAAAGTGTTTCTCACACTAATATCAAATATATTATCTGAATTTTCCCTATAAGACCTGCTTTAGCTCTATCTCATATACTTTAGCATGCAACATTTATCACTGTCTTCATGTTCTTAGTATTTTATAACTTAGTTTAGAAATTACTCCTTAGTCCAAAGATTATTCAATGATGTATATTTTAATATGCAGATATATGTTATCTTTCAAGGTATTCTGATGCACTGATTTCTAATTTATTGCCTGATGCACAGAAACATAGTTTCATGTTATTGATCTTTTGAAATTATTGAAGATTCCTTTGTGAACTAGTCCATGGTTGACTTTTGTGAATGTTCCAAATGTGGTTCAAGAGAAATTTTAGTCTTTATTATGTTTAATGTTCTAATACATCTGAATTAGGTTGACCTTATTCTATTATTCAAATTTGCATCTTTATTTTTGCCAATTTAATGTATGAGTTTTTAAGATGAGTATGTTTAAATATTCTAGGGCAATTAGTGGTCTATCCACATCTCCAGGTTCTGGTACTTGTTATATATACTATGGGGCTGTTTTGTGGAGGGGAGGAGAATTCAACAGCAACATATCCTTTTAATCTATTACTCTGTTAAATCAGTCTTTTTGTCCCCATCTCTGTATCTTGCCTGATATTATACCATAGCTCTCTTGGTACAAATTTTCCTAAAATACCTTTCCTCATCTTTTAAAATCTTTATTTGTGTTTAAGTTTCCTTTCATCCTACCAATTTTCCTATTCGTTTCTTGCTTTCTTTTAGTCAAATATTTTTATCATTCCATTTTCTTACCCACTGACTTGTAAGTTATGCCTTGTTTTATTTTTTAATGATTTTTATTGAATTTATCATTTATTTCCCTGACTTATTATAATCCAATGGTAAATTAGTCAATTAACTGTTTCCTGGACAATACAAGGACATGTGACCACATTAATACTCTTTCCCTATTTGGGCTCATGTTGGCCTGTATTTAAGTCACCATATATTTAACACCACAGGTAAGCACTAAGAAGAAAAAGATATTTGTAGTAAATACAGATGAAAAAATTGTCATGTATAGAATCTGTGAAGAACCCCAGATATGATTAAAATGAAGACAAACAACTGAATAGAAAAATTGAATGATAGATTTTTCACAGAATAGGATAACCACCTCACTAGTATAGTAAACATGTTCAGGGAAATGAAAACTAAAGCCATAAGTTACTACTCCAGTCCCACTAGAATGGCTAAAACTTTGTAGGAAACTGATAATATCCAGGGTTGGCAAAGATGTGGTACTCAGATATGTTCTCTCACATGCTGCTATTTGGAGTATATTTGATATAACTGCTTTAGAAAACCAATTGGCATTTTGTATTCAAATTTGAATATTTGAATATCCTTTGACCCAACAATATCACTCCTAAATATAAAAATGCATGCTTTTATCCACTAAGTGACACAGCCAAATATGTTCAAAACTGCATTATTTGAATTGGCAACAGCCCAAATGTTCATCAAAAGTAGAATAGTCAAATTGTGATCTGTTCATACAGATTGTCAGACTTCTAGCTTAACATCATGGATGACTCTTGTAACATAATTAGTAAAATAAACAAACAAACAAACAAAAAACCATACTATAGGATTCCATTTATATGAGGAAAAAGAGAGTTGTGGGTGCTTGAGAGGAATTACCCCAGACCCACCCAAAATCTCTTCCTGCCCAGAATTAGACACTATTCTATATTGTTAGGCAGAAAATAGACAAATCATAGGTCCAAGATCTGATATGTGTTGCATCTGCTGAGACCCAACTAATATATCAGTACTTAGGGTTGAACCCTGTTGCTACAAAAAAGAGTAAACTATCCTCTGCCACCAGAATCTGGCACTTTCTCAGGAGTGCTTTCCAAACCAGCAATACCAAGCCTTGCCAGCAGATGGCAGACTATGTATACATCTATGCTGAGTAAACAAAAAGAACTTAAGTTCACATTCCAAGCTGTTCTACAAAGTTACTTTCATGTTTAGCAGAGTTGTTTTAAATTTTTTCATTTCTTTTCATTTTGATTCTTTACTGTGACATCTTCCCTGGAACACATATGTCTCAACCACATGATTATCATTCAATTACTTTGCTTTGTTTGCTTGTTGAAATGTGAATATTTGGTCTAAACTGATATGCTTCAGGAAAAAAATAAGGCTTCGTTTTTGTACATTTCTGTAGTTGCCCTTGATCTACAAGGGCCTTTTGTTTTGGCAGGTCTTAGAAGTAGAAGGTCAGGATAATTTCTCAGGCAGCTCTTGTAGGATTTATGTCCCTCTTAAAAGGATATCTTTTAGTGTATCTTCTTCCTCCATCTGCCTCTCCTTTTATGGTGCCCATTAGGCCTGGCCAGTGCCTTTCTCCCTGGTCTGACAGATAAGTGCTTCAGGGTGACTCATGTTTCATGCCATCCATCCCTGATTCAGCCTGAAGCTTCTTCCCTCTATGTCTCCTCCTCTGCCCCAAACTTACTGCATTCAGTAATAGTTTTTGGGATCCCAATCATGTGTACCTGTGTAATATTTCTTTAAATCTGCTAAATTTAGAAAGTAACCAGTGAAAAACAGGAAAGTTTCCCCCACAGAGTTCAGAATTGTGTTCTGTTTTGGTGACCAACAGATCATGGTCTTTATGTATACAAGCCTACACCAATGCACCTGTATACCCACTCACCTTTAAAAATTACTTTTCTGTGTGGCTTGAGGATAATGACCAATTGAGATTGCTGCTCCAAAACATATGATTTGATGGTCTAACTCCCTGTGACTCCCTGACACTGTCTTTGGAGGCTTCCAAACCTTGCCCAGTGAGCAAATGGCCTGGTGTGGCTAAGTTGAACTAGCCCAGGAATAAGCAAACACTTTTCTTTCTTCAGAGTATGAACAGGACACCTGCCAAGTATGTCTAGGCAGTATGACATTGTACAATTAATAACATGGACTTTGGAGTCAGAACCCCTAGGCTCAAGTCAGTGTTCGTTCAGATTATCCTGCAGTAGAAACTTGGGCAA